ACATTGTTTTTATTTTATGCTAATTATATTTCACTGCTTTTTTTGTTTAGTTAAAGATGAGTGTTAATGTTAATTAAAGTGCATCGGTATGTACCCTTGAATATCATGCATCAGAACCCCAGACACTTCTCTGGCGTGGCTTCACAAACTTACGTACGAGTTTTAAGTAACTCACTGATTACACGGGGGTAGACTTTGGATGATCATAAAATGTTGTCCGCTTCATTGCAATGCTCTTCTCCTCCAATCAAATGTTTAGATACGACCTTTAGAATAATATTATTTTCCGTTCAGAGGACAACAGCAAGATGCATCATTTTAAGTAACATGTCAAGGTCTTGTGTGATCCTGATGAACGCTTATATTTGTCCGTTTTCGGATGCCATTTATCCAAAGTGTTTCAGCATTCGTTTTGCAAGAGTAATTGTTGAAAAGCATTTACGGATATTATGCTGGGTTTTGTCAAACGGCCGTTTTTAACAAAATTTGCCGTAGGGGCAGAATAAGGCTTTCGATCCCATTGTTCAGTGTCATTCAGTACTCCGTTATGCACGATCCCTCTGTCTGACCATTTCCCACATCCAACAGCAGAGACAGAATATTGGTTATCTATGGATTATCTCCGTTATTATTATTTTCATTTGGCTATTAAAACAGCAGAGAGTCATAGAAGGATTTATATTGCGGCGTCCCGTCAGAAAACATGACCATGCTTCAAACGAAAACAACTATTGGTGGTGTTAACTGCTAAGAATTTGCGTGAAGGTAAAGATTTTGCATTTATGTCCCTTAATGTTTTGGGAATGACGCGATAAAAAGTTTAATGTTTCAGTTTAATGGTTTGCCAGAGTTCATATTTTACATCAAACAGCTCTTAATGATGCTTGTAGTAAATGTTATTCAATGACAGTGATCGATATCTATGTACATTTGTTAATAAATGACTTCCGTATGCCACAAAAATACTCTTCCAAGAATTTGCTGATTTGCATCCAGATTTAATCACGTTTAGTGACGTTGATTTTAGTCACGTTGATCTTATTTTGTACTGTTGAATTTGACGCGATATACTTTATTGCGTAAAACATGGCCAAATATAGCTTCGATGCTACGGCAGCGATTTTTCGCTTTTGTTCTCGCAAATCCACAAGAAATTCTGTGTTCGTCAAGCAGCAGCAGGAATCAAAGTTTCTTGTGAGACGTTTGAACTTAGTCGAGGCTTTTTCCTGAATGTTCTCTTAACATCTATCAAATAAAAATAGCATCCTTCTTTCAGAGGGATCACGATATAAATGCACAAATCCAATTAACGCTACTTCACGGGGTTTCCCTTCCCTTTTACGTCCCCTCGACATAAAGTTTGTGTTTTTCTCCGTCATATCTTCCATTCTTCTTGTCCGTGAATTGTCATCTTTCGTCCAGAGGCCAGACAGCATGGCAAAGGATTTAATATTGTCTTCGTTAGCGAACATTACCGAAAGTGTCTGTCAATCTGGGGCCTGCCGTGAATTGGAGTAGCCTTGTGGTAGACGGATTTGCTCTGTATTCATCATTGGATCTGTTAACCTCTATTTCCGCTACTTAATTTGCCGATAATTTCGAGGTTCGCAACAAATTGTCGTGACTGAAGGAAGCAGTGCTCTCTGGAGGTGTACTTTCCATACTCTTGCAGGCTCGCGAAGGGGAATTTCGAACGAATTTCTAACGCTGAATTTAGCGAAACTCGATCAAAACGGAAAAGGAAAAGAAAGTTGGCAACCGTTGGAAAGTCGCCCTTCCATTACTTTGATAATGATGGCCGCTTCTGGTGACTTTCTGTTTATGAATAACGAGGTGATTTTCACTTCTGTACTATCAGCCAGAGGTGTTTTAGTTTAAAGGCAGAGTCGACAGCAACTATGTTACAAGCACAGTGTTAACTTTGGAAAGAAGAAAGGCGGATGACTTTACCGAGGTTCGGTCCCGGTATCTCGCGGTTTTAAGCCCAACACTCTATTGTATAAATAAACTCGATTATGTGCATGAACTGTCATCTGGTTGGGAAATGATAGCTTCTTCACCTAACGTATTTTATCTACCTCACATTGATCAGTACGGTAGAAGGGCATTGAGCCAGATAGCGAAATTACTGCAAGACTGACGCAACAAACAATTATGAATGCTGAGTGATATTATCATTATATTTATCTGCGATATATTTTTAAAACTCCAAAGTGGTAAAAATTATAACTTTTGCAAGTGTAGACGCCAGCATGACTTTTCAATATCCTTTCGTAAGTCGTAAAGAAATGCACCAGTCTCCGTTCTTTCCTTATTGTTTGTAGGACCGATATAACATCCATATAGTTGTCTCGAATGCATAAGGAGGTTCGTCCACTATTGGTTATGACTGTCTCATTGAATAAGCTGCCAGTAGGGTTATCAAATACTATCAAGGTTGCCGCTAGGTATTTCTCTAATATAGTAGGTTACAGATGTTCTTGGCGTTTATACGTTGGTAACTTTTGAGCACTGAAAAGGCTCCTTTTATTTGGAGAAAGCAATCAGCGTTGGTGTGCGCTCCTGGAATAAAAATGAAAAGCAATAAATAACCAGTGGGTGATGACACAATTGTTAAAGATCATGAAAGGTGGTCGCAGCGGTTCAAAGACTGCCGAAGGCATTAGGTTTCAGACTGGTATGGTAAAAATGAAAGCAATTTCTAGTGTCTACTCACCTGTTGTGGTTACGCCTGATATTACAACAACATTTTATACCTATCAAGTTATTATTAGTAGGTTAATTAAGCAATGCGAGGTAATGCGGGATCATGCGATTAATTAATGTACGATTCGCATCTACTCCTGTAGGTGTTTAAATTCATTAAAGCCTTGACCTGCTTAAGCAACTATAAGCGATGCGGCGAGGAATTGCACGATGAAAATCTGGCATCAGAAAAGTAAAATTATTTATTCTCAGTTGCCTATCAGCGTACTACTGAAACAATATGCTTTTTATTTTTA